GGTGTGTGGGACTTTGAAAACAAATAGCAGGGATGGCTATGTGATACACAAAGTTTCTACGACTTTTATGGATACTTGATGATTCCTCATATAACTTTTACGTGGTTCAGTAACGAATAATTTTGAAAATATGAAAAACTACGTAGTTGGAAATTTTTAGTTTGGTAGCAAAGTTAGTTTTATTTCAAGTATCAAGGGCGATCTATCGAATTGTGGGCGAGATTAGCCAATGTAGGTATTGGTAGACTACGCTTACAAAAGTAGCCATCAAAGCTCATATACTTAACCTCCATCCATTTGTCTTAGTTGGGGTGATCATCAGCCGAGCTTGAGACTGACACAGCTCATATCACCTGTGTCACTGTTGTCTTCGTGGTTTTTGCTTTGGTAGCGATTGAATAGCATTGACCATTTGAAGTGAGAGGACAAGCCTACACTCTGCAACACTCGGACTATATCGAGACCCGTATAATTCCAGATGTGAAAGTGAGATGTCTACGGCGAATTTAGTTTAGTGGCAAACAACCCCGCTTGTAGGAACACAGTAAGCCGGATCGAATTCTGCCTGGGCCAACCAAGCCTTCCATCTCCTCGGGGTAGGTTAGAAAGCAGGTTCATGAGGGAGATGAAAGCACTGACTACATCAGCCACATCGGCATAGGTACATCGGCTGGCCCTCGACCAGATCGGCCAGAAGTATTCAAAGCTGCCGCGATCTCTAACAAAAGTATGACGCGTGGGACAATTCGTAAAGCGAGGCTTCCCCTTCGTACTATTTATTTAGATCGAGATATGTTCCGATTTATTGTAGGAGCGTAACTTCACACAGTCTTTTTCTCCATTTCAGTGAAAGTATATTTGAGGAGAAAGTACATCACGAGGACTTGGAACATAGATGAACGTTGATGAAAAATGAATACCGATCACATGCGTGCAAAATTAACTCATTATACATCTGAAAGTACATGCGAAATTGGAGCAGGGTGGAGTAAAAAAAATCTGGAGAAAGGAAATATAGGGCTTTTCAGTAAGCAGTTTCTCAATCCTAGCGTCCTTTCTGTCACTCCTCAATGCAGCTATTTACCATGGAAGCTCAGTAACTCATGAAAATGGCACCTGAGGGAAATCATGACTAACGGACATTCGAGAGAATAATCGCATTTCTGAAGCCTGAATCAGGTGGTTTTAAAATAACAGAGCATCGCACTGTGGCATAGCCCTAATATGAGCTGGGAAGGCGCAGCGGTTAAAGTATCGCTCGCATTAGCATGCCAAACGCCTATCCAATTCCACTTGAGACTACCATTTTTCAGTATTCTGCTAATTGACTTCAGCTATAGCTATGAGGACAAACACGGTGAAGGTATGGTAATAGAATAGCATGGTAACCATATCGGTCTCAACGTGACACTGCTTTAAATGACTGTCAAAAACCGAACAGAATTGGCGCATTCAGAAATCTGGCAAAAGCTGAGGGCTACGTATTTCTCCGTTAACCGCAG